ATTATAATATTATTATATACTGTATATGTGTGTGTATACTATATATACACACACACACACACCATTCATGTACATAACACTATACAGCAATCCAATACTATTCCATATAATCAGTTACTGATGCACAATAAAATGTGCCAAAAAATGGGAGAGTGTTGATATGGAAGCTCAGTATACAAATTAAACGTTTACCCATTATTTGGCCGCACAGAGGGTGGTGTCAGGCCATGCCATCATAAATGTTGAGAGCCCCACAGTAAGCAACATCATTTTCCAGGCCTAACCTGCCCTTAACACAAAGCATTGTATCTGCTCAGGTTAAACAGTGGCTAGCGCATTCTAAATTATCACTAGGGGTGTGACGATACATTTTTCTTATGAGATGAGGTAATACGCAATATTGGGTTTGTGAACGAGAAAAGATATTTTAACACCATTTTTAAGAAATCTTCAGTGACGAAATGTATGACTGGAAAAAGTCTTTCATGTAATGAATGTCACCTCAATTCTGCTTTCTGACAATGAATGGTCGTATGCAGTAAAAGACAATATCCAAGCTCTGTAAAAGGTTTTGCCACAAACTCGACTGACTGACTTCTCTCCTGTAGGATTTCACACAAGTCTCGTCAGATCTTGCATGAGTTTCAAACTTCTAATTGCAGCTGTGTGTGACTTTCTTTCACCCTCAAACTCCGTCATGCTGGCTGCTACTCTGGTTCTGTCATGCACTGATGTCATGACACAACTTTTTACCTCGACAATAAATATCGTCACATTTTAATATTGTGAGATCCTGTCACACCCCTAATTATCACCCAGATCAGTTGTAGATTTAAGGGTTTAAGTTGGTGTGGCCATTCAAATACATTTGATTACCTGCGCTTAAACTTCCCAGCCTATGTGCTTTTCAGGAAAATTGCAATGCACCTGCGATTGTAATAAAAGGTGGACTGAGCAGGTGTTATTGCTTTCACTATTTTGGGTACAAAAACACAATTGCCTAATCGGCATAAACATGACCTCAACTGGAAGGTGACAAAATTATCAAGAATATTTTTAAAGCTTGTTTTGTTCTAGAAGGTCTGAAATGCATTAAGTCTCTCACAGCCGTCTGCCATGTGAATACTGAAGACTGATCTTGGATTGGTAGTGTTGTCCATAAACCTAACCACACATTAGCATTAAATCAATGCTTATAGAGGTTTTTGATTTGGAATATTTGTTGGAAAGGTTATGAAACCTGACAACAGTGACCTTTCAAGCACTCGATGGTATTCTAAAATCAGCCATGATTCTCCCTAAATACTAACAAGCTGCCCTGTTATGTTACCCTTGCAGGTACATTCATTCTAAAGAAAAGCCCTTCAAATGTCAGGAGTGTGGGAAGGGCTTCTGTCAGTCCAGGACTCTGGCTGTCCACAAAACATTGCACATGCAGGTGAAGGAACTGAAGCCAGCCAAGATCAAGTGATTCACGCTGCCTGCTTACTCTGATGGGACGAAGACACTGGAAAAGCATGATCAAAGACATCAACAGTCAAAGAGCACCCAAAGACTTGGCAGAACCCTGTTTCTGTGAAAACTTCTCAAGAATGATATATTTTACCAGCCAATTCTTAAAGAAATAATGCAAAAATAAGCCTTAACAGAGAAGTGTACAATTACTTATCAAAGCTTGACTTGGCAGGGAAATCCAGTAGACATGTGGAATGTGAACCTTAAGCAATAAAGCTCTTGTGGCTGGTCAGTGCAGATACTTTGCTCAGCAACTTCTAATCCAAAGACTTTATAAAATGGACTGTTATGCATTCAAAAGAAGAAAAAAAAATCAAAGCCATGTTAGCATACACACCTTCCTCCTTTCAATATCACATTCCATTGTTATTTTTTTACAGATGTTATATCGAAATATATTTTTGCACCTTAACCCAATTATTGATTCTTTACATATATCACTGGATTCATTAAACCTATTTACAAAATGAATAATCATTTCTAAATAAAATGTTTTACTATACAGTAGCCGATTGGCTGTGGTCTCAACTTGTTTGGGTGAGATGTTATGGCAGGTAAGCACTCATGTAGGGTGTCAATAAGTCGCTTCTAGGGTTGGGAGAAAAAATAATTCACTTTAGAATTGCGATTCATATCTTCTAAATTTCTAAATTGATTCACAAATGCTGAAAAATCCATTTTTGTCATATGTTGACGGTGAAAATGGCACAACTCAAGTGCAAAGCTAGTGCTGGATGCACACACTAGAATTGTGTTGTACATCTATGGTTGTAATGTTAGTTCAGCTTCAGAAAAAGAATTAATTTGCTTGTTTATACTTGATAATGAACTTTGAAAGACAAGTGTGGAGAACTGTGTGAGTACTTCATACGCTCATCACCAATAGACTGACGTTAGCATAACCTAGCATTGAAGATATTACCGAACAAGCAGCTCAGCAACACACACTGCAGCACTTCAGTCAAACTAGTAGGACAAATAGAAGACCTCGTATCTACAGACCTGTGCCCATTCTGGATAACGCTGGCTTTCTCTGGTAGAAATGCTGCAGCACAAATGTTGTTCTCCACTGCTGCTGATGTAACAATAACAACACAACTGAGTGCTCTGTTCTGTTTTTGCCACCCCTAGTAGCTACATGTAATTTAGTGCCTTGCATACTGTTTCATCAAGGTGATGAGAAGGAGGAGAATGGTACTGAAGACTGCCTGCTTACTCACGATACATTTTTTTTATCCAATTCTTTTTATTTCTTTTTATTAGTATTTAAAAGCACAGACAAAAGAGCCACATATACTACTAATACTAATAGATGGAGAGATGTTTTTTGCAGTTTATGCAAGCTTGCATTTGGCTGACAGTTAAATGTTTACCATATTTGTGTTATTTTAGCATGTAAGCACAGGAACATTTGAAATGTAGCACTAATTAGAGCTGAAGGCTCATCATTCTTTCAGGCATTTGTTCATAACCCAAAGTTTGACCAGATGAAAAGTCAAAATTGTGACCGTGTTGAGATCATGAATGTGGGTATTACACTTTACAGCAAACCAAATGTTGAGATTTTTCAGTAAATAACTACAAAGTCAAATTTGTGGTACAAAGGGGATTCACCACTTTCAATCACACTTTTGAGCACCATGAACGTGTGTAATGCAAACCCCATTTCCAGAAAAGATGGGACATTTTCCAATCACCAAAGCCTCAGGCTTTGTAATCAAGGATGGGTTGTGGCTGACCATGTTGTGCCAAACTTCCTGAGAAAATCAATTATTTCAAAAAGAAAATTTCTCAATACAAAATTTCAAACAACTTGGGTCTTTCACCTCCTACAAGTCATAATATTCAGGAAATCAGAGAGACTCTCATTGCATAAAAGCCAGGCGCAGACCACTGCTGAATGTGCATGATCTTCAAACCCTCAGGAGGCACTGCATGAGAAACCATCATGGTACCCCGATGAATATCCACTTGTTAAGTGTGACATAACATTCCATTAACAAGTCCAAACTCCCCCAGACCCTACTGGCAGAACCTGTCACCCTCTACACAATAACACCTTTTTATTTTCTTCTTTTTAGCGAGGCATCACTGAAGAGTTAAAAAAAAATGAATACATTCTTAAGATTCAAATAGAGTAGTCAGTGTTGCTGTTCCACCTCGTGGTGTAATAACCTAATTTTATTACATGTAATACATTTATTATAGTATATTGCTACTGTATATGTAGCACTTGTGACACATAATTTACACATAATTTTATATACAAACTTTTGGAGTATATATTAAAGTAGAGACCAATGGAAGGTTGACAACAGTTGACAGATTTATTACACTCTGACAAGAAAAAGTTTGGATGTAAAATCAACATCCAGCCATTATCTCTACTGCTTATTCCTGAATAGAGTCATGAGGGACTGGAGTCAATCCCAGCTGACATTGGTCAAGAGGTGGGATCCACCCTGGACACATCATCAGTCTATCACAGGGCTGACATTTAAACAAACAACCTCACACACTCACTCCTATGGGCAATTTAGAGTCACCAGTTAACCTAAGCTGCATGTCTTTGAACTGTGGGAGGAAGGCGGACTACCCGGAGAGAACCTACACAGGGAGAATATAAACTCCACACAGAAAGTCCTCATGTCGGCCAGGACTCAAACCCGGAACCTTCTCGCTATGAGGCGACAGCGCTAACCACCACCCTACTGTGCCACTCTAAAATTAACATTAACACTGAAAATAGCGATATGTAAATTATCTGTGTCTTGTATTACATTGAAAATGATACAGTAGCACATTATTTGATGTGAT